TGCTCAAATGTAAAAAACACTGGCTAACAACCCACAGAGTGGAATGTAAATGAAGCAGTGGAAATGGGATATTTTCAGTTAGGGATGACTGACTTTGGAAGACTTTTCTTTGTAACAGCTTAAGGCTGTTGACCATGTGGTATAGCTTATTTCTCTCCCACTGCAATTCTCAGGGAAGCAGGGTAGAAGCTAAAGGTGAGATTGAGAATTCAAATGAACTGAGGAACACTCTGCATAGGCCTTTTTCATACTTAACTATGCACATATTCACAGGTACACACACCCACTTATGTCCTGAAACAAAGTTCAAAGAATATTAGCAAAGTATAATTCTATATAGAGTTTTGCATACTGATTTTTAAGTAAGACAAATTAAAAAGACAAAGCATAAGTAGTGACTTAAAGGCTACAGAGGCATTCATATCCTAGGACAAGATGTTCTAACAGCAGATCTATCAGACAAGGTAAAGGTGTTGCATCTCTCTTTGAATATTGATGATGTCCCCAACGTCCGAGCCAGCGCAAGAAAAAATGCAGGAAAATCCTTCCTATGCTTTTCTTCAGCTCTCACACCATGAACCTCCCAGGCAAGCTTTGTATGTACAGTACTTGTTCACTACAGCGTATGCCCAGCTGCAACACCATTACCACCAAAATACTGGGAGCAGAGCCACCCTAGAAATCCTAAGCCATACAGTTTGCTGTATCTGCTGCATTAACAAATGTTGGTTAAGTCATTTAATGTGTGGCTTTTTTTGTTTCTCTTTCTGCGATGTGAAAAGTTTGTTAGCAGGTTTACCAAGGGTTAATAAAGGTTTTTCATTTTCTCTGCATAATGGCCTTTCATAGCAGCCTCTGCTATGACTGATCCCTAGATGAAATTCCAAAGCAGATAAGAAGTTTAGTAAAATGTGGGAGCTGCTGCTCTCAGATTTGTGAAGTCATCTGTGCAAAATTTAAGCTGGCCTAAGAGTTCTTTGAATTTCAGGCTTCTGTAGACATCCAGTCAGTCAGTCAGTGGATGGGAACTGGAATGTATTGTGCTAATTGCCAGGAAAATGAGCACCTACAAAGAAATAGTTGGATGCATGTCTGAAAAATGCTATTATATCTCATACCAGGATGCTAAACTTCTGCTTCTGGAAGGCTCCCTGAACCCTGGCTTAAGCACCAATGTAACAGTGGCATTTGCATTGCAGACAATATGCAAGTTAGAAGGGTCATCAACTAAAAGAAAAGTAAAGGTATCTTGTTTGTACACATAACAATGTAATGCTGCTAAGGAAATTGCCTGGAGATCAACTAACTGATGACTACCTCCTCCTCCTCCTCCTCCTTTGTGAAGCAATTGTTACTCATGGTGTTTCCAAAGTAATCTCCCACAGGCAAATCATTCAGCAAAATTCTGAATAAAAGGCAGCAGCAGGGCTTTGCAGTAAACGGGCTTACACTGTACAGGACCAATAGCCACTGCCCCAGTCTGCCCTAAGGTACCTAACCACTGACTTTGGAGGCCATGACTCAACACAAGAAATGCTTGCCTCCTAGTTAGGGACTAGGTTGTATAGGGTTTACGTGTCTTAACACTACAAGATTGCATACAGCAGAGATGCATTCACCATAAAGAAAACAAACTGCTTGCATTCTCTACTATCCTGAATTTTCAAAATGTGCCTCAGAATCCCCCCGTGAAGGCAGGGATTGAACAGGAAAAAGCACCAGTCCTCAGGAAAGCAGGTAACAGGATCCTTGCCAAAAAAAGTTCAATTACTGCTGTGTTCAACAGTAAATATGAAATGAGGGGATCCGTCCAACCCATCGCACATACAAAGGCATAGTTCACTCTGCTGAGAGATCTTCTACGCTACTGTCATTCACATTCTGTATTCAGATCTTTCTTATGAAGCTCAGGATTTCCCCCCCCCCCCCCCATTTTGCCTGGACTGGGTCTACTTCAAAAAGAAAAGCAGCAAAGTAGCAGATTCCAGTCAGTCTGATCCTGGTGAAAACCAAAGTGTGGAAAGTGTTTAGCAATGATAAGGGGAACTACAGCTGCATTTGATGTAACAGTAACTAATGTAATAACAATTTGGTACACCACTTATTTCGCAACCCTCAAAAATCATTAAAATTGGTCCAATTAATCAAACTAATCCAGACAAGTTGCTATGCATGCTTTCATACACCATGTTTGCATTTACGCACTTGCCTATGAAAGATCTGAAGCCAGTTTTGACTGCAGAGTCTGTAGGTACAACATAATATCCCTCTTTTTAAAAACTTTGAATATCATGAAGTAAGATAAAGAAAAAAATACTTAGGGAAGAAGTTTAGACAAGGAGACACTTCATGTTTCTTGAGCTACCAAGGGAACAAATCAAAGAATTCAAGTTTGTCTAAGAGCACAAGGAGTCAGGTCTCTGCACAGAGGACAGGTTTGCTTCATCAATTTTCACAAAATTAAAGTAAGGTTTTTGCAACAAATGCCAGCCTCCCAGCCAAATCGTCATACCATATAAACCAGAAAATACCGTCATTATGCTGAAGAAAATACTTATTTCTTAGTTGTCCTGTAAAATTGATGGGAAAATAGAAAATGTGTGCATTAAGATTAATGTGCAGAAAGGCCATTTAAGAAGCAGACTTGCAGCTGCTGCAAGTTTAATTTTGACTTGGACTGAGTGTGATGGGTTTTATTGTTTGTTTTGGCATTTTTCACATGGCTCTCCCCAGCAAGCTGTGCTCTTAATGTTCCTTCAGGCAAATAAGTAACTCCATGCTCCTAGAAATACTGTCTCACTTGATTTTGTTTACACCTAAAAGTGGTGGCTTTTTTTTGTACGAGAGGGAGACATAACATAAAAACCTGTGTCATTTGGCTTATACACTCTCAAATTAAAATTTCTGTATCCCAACGTTTCTTTTTTTCCCTTCTGTCACTAATCAGATAATTTTGGTAAATTTTCCAGTTGCTGATTTCAGGCAAGGATTGTAGGTTACAACAGTTCATAATATAAACAAGCTTAAGCAAGCTAGTATGTAAGTATTAGCATTGACTAGCTTTAGCACAGAATTTTAAAAACCAGACAAATATCAAGTAGCAGCTCTACATGACCCTTCACTCTATATAAGTCAACAATTATTCAAATAAGTAAACAAGCTCCCATTTTACGTTTCCTTTTGAACAGACTTTGACTTGACCATGCCACCATTTAAACTGTAGTCAATTCAAGATCTACACACTGTCACATAATAGTCTCATTCAAGGTCTGTAGTGCCACATAATATGCTCCTCACAAAAACCATCATTGCACTGACGTAAGTCATGATACAGCAGAAAATCCACTGTAATGGTGCACGAAGTTACCATCCCCTTGAGATGTTAGGCTAACATGCAGTAACAGCTTTTGTTCTGTGGCTCATTCAGGGAATTTGAAGCAATGGCAATTACGCAGATTTTATTGTCATAGCAAAGGATGCTTTCATTGCACTGACGGCTGTAAACAACCCATAAACTGTTTAGGAGGGGTGGAATGGTGCTTGAAAGGTCCTTGGAAAATTTGACAGACTAATTATCACACTGAAAAAGCTTCCAAGATAATAGATAAATCTTGAGAGGCACTCTGACAGCAGACAAGAATTCCTCAAGGGAGCAGTTGTCCTGTTTCTTGAGTGACTTGCTGCTATGTAGGTCCAGCTAACGTGTAAATAGCTATATTTGGGTAAAAAGTAGGGCTTAGCAATCACTTCCAAGGAGAATATGAGTTGTAATAGCTGCAGCCCTAAAGCTGGGTTGAGGTTAGATCAGAGCACCATCCTGGTCAGCCCTTTCTAGAAGATACAGATTCTGGATGCCTCCGGCTCCATACCAGTCACTTCCCAGGGGCCTTGCTCCCCTGCCAGCCTTATAAAAAAAAAAATGCATCTTTCATATACCTCTTATT